ATTTAACTTCATATACTTCATTTCATATAATATTACTTCAAGTTTGACTTCAAGTTCTTCACGATATTTCATAAATAACTAACTAACAAAAGTTCGCTTAGCAAAGTCCGTATTTATAACACCCACACATTAGCACACTATTTACATATATGCAAAATCATTCAATCGTATAAACATGCTCCCCGCCCAGTCCAGAGGCGGAGCAGTCTGGACGACTACAAAATAAGTTAATGATCTAAAGAAATTAATGTTCTCTTAATAAGAGTATAAGTTTAGTCACAGGTCTGTGTAATTCTCCATTCTGAGTTTAGACTTTGACTGATCGCACAACGTTTCGGTCGTCTGGGAATGTTTCTTAAATTTTGCCCCTTAGCCACCGTGCTCTTGGCTGATTTGGGTCCAATATTAACACTAAATCACCAGGTTCCAAGTTTCGTACTGTATGATTCCATTTTGGCCGTCGTTGAAGGCAAGGCAGATATTCTTTCTGCCACCTTTTCCAAATCTTTAACATGATGGACTGTAGAAATAGCCAACGCCGTTTTGGTGAGACTTCTTCAACTTGGATTTCGCTCGGCAGTAATGGCATTAACTGTCCTGCAGCTAAGAAATGCGCGGGGGTCAGAGGCTCTACGTCGTCCGGATCACTTCCTACATACGTCAACGGACAATTATTCAACATGCCTTCGCACTCAACTGCAACGGTGGAAAGTTCATCATCTGTGAGTTGACCTCCGTTTGTTGTGGCTGTTATCGCACGTTTTGCCAGTTTTACCATGGCTTCCAAGGCTCCTCCCATGTGAGGAGCAAAAGGAGGATTGAAGTTCCAGTCCAAGCCTTCTTGTTGTAGCTTCTCCTTTAGAACGACATCATTGCATAATTCTTTTACAAACTGGCGCATTTCTCTCTCTGGTCCAACGAAATTGGTCCCCTGGTCTGAAAACATCCGTTTCGGTTTCGATCTTCTGGCGACAAATCGAGAAATAAACTTCAAGAAATCATCAGTTGATAGGGATTGGGCAATTTCAAGGTGAACAGCTCGTGTTTGTAGACATGTAAACACGACTCTGTATCTTTTTCTCGTCGACCTCCTCCATAGCCCGCTTTGGTGGTTATAGGGCCAAAATAGTCAACGCCTGTCAAGGTAACTGGTGGGTTTGGGAAGTCAACTCTCGATGCAGAAAGGTCAGTCATGGATTGGACACCAGGATTACCACGCCATTTCTTGCACAAAACACAGCTCGATAAGATTTTCTTCACTTGTTCCCTTCCTCTTATTGGCCAATAGCGCTGCCTTAGGTTACAGAGACATGTGTTTACTCTAAAATGCTTCATCTCTTCGTGAGACCTTCTGATTAGAAGAGCAGCTAGATGCGATCCTTTTCCCGAAATAATCGGATGTCGACAATCATATAATAGAGGTGATCTTTTAAGACGTCCACCCAAACGTACCAGACCTTCGCCGTCCATGAACGGAGAAAGAGGATATAACGGAGACGATTTTGGGACCAACATCTTCCCTGTCTTCGTTTTTCCCGGGCCAGTTTGCTGTTTTTCAAGGACAGTAATTTCCTTCGCGAAACATATGCTTTGGTCTCGTCTCAAAAGCCAAATTTCTGCTTCTCGAAGTTCGTCCGCGCTTAATGGTTCTATAAGATGCTGGATGTCTTTTTTTTCATTGCACTTCTGGTCGTAGGCTTCGTGAGACGTTTTGATTTCTTCAATCGCCAATTGCGGAAAGGACGTCGAAGAAAGGCAACTCTTTTTCTCAACTTGTGAAATGTTGAGAAATCTTCAACTTTCAAGAAATATTCTCCTACGGAACTCTGGACATGACAATGACGTGCTTGTAATCTTGGATAAATCAACAAATTGATTAAACCAGGTCAACCAGGATCCCTTAATATCAAGTTCAAGTGGATCGTCTCAATCTCTCCCTCTTCTCCATAACTCCTGCATCAAGATCTTACCACGAACTACAAAGGCTGCTAACAATCCCATGGGGTCAAATAGTTGTGCCAACCTTCTTAGGACTCCTCGTTTAGTCCACACTATATCTTCTATGACGGATAATATCGGATTTGCTCGGTGGGCGGATCCACGTCATTTCAAGGACCCTCTCGTTGGTTTAATCTAATGAAAGGGGCCATTCTTGATTCGGTCAGGAACACCTTCAAGAACACACGGTTGATTGGATATCCAATTACGCATCTTCATTCCACCCTCGTCCAACATTTCGCACACGTTGGTTACGGTTTTCTTTGCATCAAGTCTAGCTTTGCAACTGTGAATCAGATCTTCCATATAGAGGTCCTTGTCTAGAGCTTCACAAGCCTTTGGTTTGTTTGTTCCAAAGTCTTTAATAATTCGCTTGATGACGTAACTTGCTAAAAACGGCGAGGCGGGATTTTCAAAGATGATACAATTAGTATAGGTAATCACACGGGAAGGAGTGCAATTAATGATTAACACTACGAGTGATATTTGAAAAATGTGCCAAAATTGCACGAGCCGCCGAGGCGAGTGCAATTTGGCACATTTTTCAAATATCACGAGTATTATTTATTTATTATATTATATGCATGACAAAATCGAGAGAGATTATTTATTTATTATATGCATGACAAAATCGCTTTCTTTATATTTCAACTGATTTTGTCAAGAGTTTTTAATTCCTTTGTAGGCAATTTAGTATAAACAAACTTGTGAAATGATCATAAACTCACAAAGGCACATAACTTAAACTAGAACACAAGATTCAAATTCAAACAACATATTTTAGACTAAGAAAATCTTTATAAATTGTATTTCAAACTTACACAGTCACGTTTCGCTGCATCCCGCCAAGATTATTTCTTAAAAATGTTTCCAGGTATTTTCCACAGGCTCTTTTTGCTATACAATGTTTCTTAAACTCATTCTTGTGCCCAAAATTTAGTTAAATTCGCCCACATTTGTTAGAAATAATTAGCTAAATTTCGCCGCCATATTGGATTTTGTTGTTTTGATTTCCCGCTCCCCCTAGCCATCACGAATATAATTAATTGCAGTCCTGGAGAATGCAATTAATGAAATAATTGCACTCCTCTTAAACAATCAGATTGGAGTAATTTTGTCATGTATATAATAAAACTGGTAAGTATCTGGTAATTGGTCTTCGTTCGTTCGCCAAAGAAATCTGTGATACTTGCAGTCGTCAGGGAAAAGCAGAACTCTTCGGAACATCTTTGAGACATCTCCTGCGATGCCGATTTTGAAACGTCGGAAACGTAATAATATGCCCGTCAGGTCATTAAATAAACACGGTCCCTTTTCGGCCAAATCATTGAGCGAGATTCCATCATTTTTGGCGGAAGAGTCAAATACGATCCTTAACTTTGTATTCTTGTCTTCGGAAATAACTGGGTGATGGGGAAGGTACCAACCCGTATCAGAGGGCTTCTCGGGTAACTTTTCCAAACAACCATTGGCCACGTAATCTTCAATAACTTTGCCGTATTTCTCCATTAGAGACGGTTGTGTTCTCATTCTTCGTTCGATTGATTCTAGCCTCTGTAACGCTACATCATAGGAATCGGGAATCTGCTTCGTACTATCTTTTCACGGAAGCTTGACTTGATACCGCTGGTTTACCCGACAAATTGTTCGGAACAATAATCGAACTGGTTAACAAAACTACATTTTCCATGATGTAAATTTTAAAGTAAGATTTATATTTTATATTTATCTATAAAGAAACGTTTATAGTGAGTGCCTCTTTGGAAATTGTTCCAAAATATGAGTGTGTAGCAAAGTTAAAACAGACTCATAATCTCTAGAACATGTTTAGACAATGTTTTGAATCACTGCAGTTTAGATTTAGCAGTCCTGAGACAGCGGAACTGGCAGCTGTTCACTGATCAATGGCACCTCATAACTATTTAGTGTACAATACCAGTCAATGAAAATTAATGTACCACCTCCCCAACCCCGAAGTTGGTAGTTTTTACATCTCAGCACTGTATAATCAACATTGCTGAATTGTATAAGTGTCTTGTTTTGTCCCAGTGACCCTGCTTTGCCCCATGGCCGGGGCCCACACTTCCACACTTGATTAGGTTCAGAATTTGAATCTCGCATGTGATTGGCCATTTGTAAAAATATGTCAAGCCGGTTTGGGAAATAAACATTACTGTAAGCTAATAATAGCCTGTATTATAATATTTTATTAAACTCAACCAATTAAGCATGTATTATTATTACATGTCCGGCAGAACTGATTAATATTAATATGTTTATCTCCTGGGAAATTTGATACCTTTTACAGAGGAGTATTAATATTCATACTTGGTTGAGTTTAATAGAATATTTTTAATACAGACTATAATTAGCTCACAGTAATGTTTATTTCCCAAACCGGTTTCACATGTTTTTTACAAATGGCCACTCACATGAGAGATTCAAATTCTGAACGTAATCAAGTGTGGAAGTGGGATTTGCAATCGATGTGACCAGAGGCTCTCCGTTCTCACCTCTTGTTTCTCTACCTCTGAAACCAGTGTACACTTAAAGTAACCCACAGGCAGAGACCAATTGCTGAAGTTGATGTGCCTGTGCTTGGTAGGCATATCTTTAAATAATACAAAGTGGCTGTTCGTACTGGAGTATGGCACCCGATTCTTACATTTCGTAAATTTGGAGCATGCCGCTAGCGCATTCGGCAAAGGCTTTGCGTGCGTGCGAAGTGATACGAAGCCGGTCCGGTTTTGTTTTCTCCGTCGGTTCTCTGTTTGACTTTAAAAAAATTCTTAAAACATTAAAAAAAATTTTCCCGACATTTTTAACTCTCAAATAATTTATTAGACATTTATTGGTTAGGGTTAGAGAAGGGTTTGTGGTTGTGGTCAGTTTATCTTAAATATTCCGACTGCAGTACGAATAGCAAATCAAACTCGGCGTACTGTTCCATGTACGAATAGCCACTTCGTAAATAATATCCTGTCGGATCATAGTAAACTGTGCACCAGTCAATATAAATTCCCGCCTGCTTAAATCTAGGAACAAATCAAGATATTTATACAATATCCAGCTACATTGATTATGCAGTGCTGAGATGTAAAAACAGCTAACTTATGGGTTAGGGGAGGTGATAATTTACATTGACTGGTATTGTACACTATATATAAATAGTTATGGGATGCCATTGATCAGTGAACAGCTGCCAGCTCCGATGTTTCAGGACTGCTAATTCTAAACTGCAGTGATTGAAAACATTGTCTAAACAGTGTTCTAGAGATTATGAGTACTGTTTTAACATTGCTACACACTCATGTTTTGGAACAATTTCCAAGGAGGTACTCATTATAAATGTTTCTTTATAGATAAATATAAATTATAAATCTTACTTTAAAACTTCCATCATAGAAAAAGCGATTTACCTGCCTGCAAAAAGGTTAACGCACTTTGGAGCGTTTTCGTGGTTGTGGACAATTTTCCACATCGAATGCATCCTGACTAACATCAGCGATTGCCCAGTTTGTCAAGCAACAACGTGGGCAAATGCAACCGTGGCAAATGTCGAAGCTCTTGGAAGGTCTTGGGCAGACAGCAAATATTAACGCTGTTTGCTCCGGCAACTCCCTTTGAAGAGGACGAAAGCGATGAAGAAAGTTAGACAGCCGATGACGACGAACCAGAAGACGAACAGAACGAAACACTCGTGAACAGTTTGTTTATAGACAAAATAGGCCTTTGGTGAAGGCCTGACATTCGCCATTTCGCAAACCGGATATGTAATGACCCATATGTAATGTTCTGGATCGTTGTGACGCATTTCCGATGCGAGATGAGATCAGATGAGTAATATTTAAAAACATGGCGACTGTGTGATGAGGGGAAAATAGGTTTAAAGTGCAACATCTGCCAATTTTCTATGCATGTGTATTAAGTGAGAGTCTGCTATTTACGCGCGTCGAAACACTGTTAATCAAGCATAAATATTTCGCGTTCTAGATCGAATTTAAAAAATCATCCCGAGGAAATAAAAGAATAAAGTACTCGTTATCAGAATTTTTCAGTTTTGGATTAAAAAGTTTAAAATCGAATGGCATAGAGGGCGTAGAACAAGGTGTTATTTTGTCACTCCATTTGTTTATATGTTTCGAACTTCAGGCATTCAGATTGGTCGAGGACGCAAAATGTAAACAAACGCGCTGATTGGCTAACATTATTTGCCCTTGTTCTATCTATGTAAATAGTTCAATAAAACACTTTAACTGTAATTTCATTTCATGAAAATAGATATTTAACTCGATCCAGCTTATCATTTAGCTATTTATTATTAGCAGGACAAAATTACTGGATGCTGATTGGTTGAGAGGAGTACAATTATTTCATTAATTATTTATCTTCTGTAATCAGTGGCAAATACTGCAATTTCATTGGTTTACAGGAGTGCGATTTGAGCATTAATCGCACCTTTTCTGAGCTGTAATC